ATGCAATAATTAAATATGCATCTACTGATGCAATCATTAAATATACATCTACTGATGCACCCATTAAATATACATCTACTGATTCATTCATTCATTCAGTAGCATGTCCCTCGCGGAACCTCGCTGCCATAACAACCCTCCGGAAAACCTTCCTATCATGAGCAAGATGTCCTGCGTCTGATACACCCATCTGGAGATCATCTGCCACATCCTGCACCCATCTTCTCCTTGGCCTTTCTCTTCCTCTCTTCCCAGGCATATACCCCTCCATTATTGTTCTCTCTAGACTTCCATGACGTTTCAAGTGACCAAAATATTTCAATTTTCTTTGTTTTATTGTCTTTACTAGCCAACCCTCTTCAATATTCAGCTCTTGAAGTATGGATGCATTTGTTCTTTTCTTTACCCAAGATATTCTTAGAACCTGTCTGCAACATTTATATTCAAATGCATTTATGCGCTGTTCCGCTTGTTTAGTAAGTGTCCAGGTCTCACAGGCGTATGTTGCAATGGGAAAGATGCATGCTCTTAAAAATCTGACCTTTGTAATTCTATCTGTACAATTCCATAATTTATTCAGTTGTTTTAGTCTTTGAAGAGCAATTGATAGTCGCCGTTTAATTTCTTTCATTGTGTCACCATTGTTGGTAACCAGTGACCCAAGATATTGGAAATTTTCCACCACTTCCAATCTTTCCTCATTAACATATATTTCATTCTCCATGGCAGTTTTGTTTGTATGCATTATCTTTGTTTTTGCTACTGATGCACCTATTAAAAATACATCTACTGATGCAACCATTAAATATACATCTACTGAGGCAACCATTAAATATACATCTACTGATGCACCTATTAAATATACATCTACTGATGCACCCATTAAATATACATCTACTGATGCACCCATTAAATATACATCTACTGATGCACCTATTAAATATACATCTACTGATGCACCCATTAAATATACATCTACTGATGCACCCATTAAATATACATCTACTGATGCACCTATTAAATATACATCTACTGATGCACCCATTAAATATACATCTACTGATGCACCCATTAAATATACATCTACTGATGCACCTATTGAATATACATCTACTGATGCAGCCATTCAATATACATCTACTGATGCAACCATTAAATATATATCTACTGAGGCAACCATTAAATATACATCTACTGATGCAGCCATTAAATATACATCTACTGATGCACCTATTAAATATACATCTACTGATGCACCCATTAAATATACATCTACTGATGAAATCATTAAATATACATCTACTGATGCAACCATTAAATATACACCTACTGATGCACCCATTAAATATACATCTACTGATGCACCTATTAAATATACATCTACTGATGCACCCATTAAATATACATCTACTGATGCAGCCATTAAATATACATCTACTGATGCACCCATTAAATAAACATCTACTGTTGCACCCATTAAATATACATCTACTGATGCAATCATTAAATATACATCTACTGATGCACCCATTAAATATACATCTACTGATGCACCCATTAAATATACATCTACTGAGGCAACCATTAAATATACATCTACTGATGCACCCATTAAATATGCACCTACTGATGCACCCATTAAATATACATCTACTAATACACCCATTAAATATACATCTACTGAGGCAACCATTAAATATACATCTACTGATGCACCCATTAAATATACATCTACTGATGCACCCATTAAATATGCACCTACTGATGCACCCATTAAATATACATCTACTGATGCACCCATTAAATATACATCTACTGATGCACCCATTAAATATACATCTACTGATGCACCCATTAAATATACATCTACTGATGCACCCATTAAATATACATCTACTGATGCACCCATTAAATATACATCTACTGATGCACCCATTAAATATGCACCTACTGATGCACCCATTAAATAGGCACCTACTGATGCACCCATTAAATTTTCATCTACTGATGCACCCATTAAATATGCACCTACTGATGCACCCATTAAATATACATCTACTGATGCACCTATTTAATATACATCTACTGATACACCCACTCAAAATACACCCACTAAATATTACTATTAATATCATTACTATAATTATGTTTCTTCTTATTCTTCTTTTTTCACCATCATCTTCTTTTACATTTATTTTTCTTTCTTTCTTTGTTTTACTTTTTTTTCTATCTGTCTTTTCTTCTTTATTTCTTTGTTTCTGTCTTTTTTTTCTGTCTTTCTTTCTTTCTTTCTTTCTTTCTTTCTTTCTTTCTTTCTTTCTTTCTTTCTTTCTTTCTTTCTTTCTTTCTTTCTTTCTTTCTTTCTTTCTTTCTTTCTTTCTTTCTTTCTTTCTTTCTTTCTTTCTTTTCTTTCTTTTCTTCTTTCTTTCTTTCTTTCTTTTTCTTTCTTTCTTTCTTTCTTTTCTTTCTTTCTTTCTTTCTTTCTTTCTTTCTTTCTTTTCTTCTTTCTTTCTTTCTTTCTTTCTCTCTCCTTTCTTTCTTTTTCTTCTTTTTCTTCTTGTTATAATAAAAATTACCTAACGCTACACCAATCAACAATCCACTAGTCCCCTTTACGTCAGGTTTTATTTTCTTGTAACTATTGTATGCTGTGTCCTCCTAGAAGCCCATAATAACTTTCAAAGAAACTTCTTGTCCTAACGAGGTTCGAACACACGACTACCTATATGACAGGCCAGTCAGCTACCCACCATCCTGTGATGACTCCACACGGAGAAGTAACAGCTCAGGATGCCAATGACTGTCAGTATGAAAACAACTTGACAAACAAGAACAAATATTAAAGGGCAAGTAGGCAGTGTCAGAACAAACAGTCTGTTTTCTTGGTTATGTCATTTTGTCGAACCATTCAGCTGTAACTTGTTGACTTCTGCCTTGTTTATTCTAGCTGTTATTTCATGCATCTGTCTGAGCATGCATGGCAGGGCAATAAACTATATTCATATTGCCCTTTTTTCAAGCCACCGTGCTGTAGCGGCTAGACGTTCTCCTGGGGATCCGAAGGCTAGGGGTTCCAATCAAACAGTGCTGGACATTTTTTTTTTAAATGACTGTGGCTCCCAGGTCGATCCACTCTTAAATGGGTACCGGGTGAAGTCCTGAGAAGTATATGCGACCGGCGGGAAGCTGAGCACATAACCCACCAAGTGCTGATTGGTCTATAAACTATAGGTCTCGCCCTATGTGCCCAGTACGTTTGAAGGCGTGGAAAAAGAATTGTTACTTAGTTTATATTATTGATTTTAATCACACCTACCGTGGGCTGCTGCTGTTCTTTCTACTGCCACAACCACTACTACTACCACTACAACCATTATCACTACCATCACCACCACTACTGCTACCACCACCACTACTACTACCACCACCACTACTACCATAACCATCACCACTACTACCACAACCACCATTACTACTACTACTACTACTATTAATACTTTTACTACAACTGCTGCTACTACTACTACTAGCACTACTACTACTACTACTGCTACTACCACTTCCACTACTACTACCACTAATAATTCTGTTGAAAGAACGGCTGCAGCAGTAGCAGCAGTATTAGTAGTAGAAGTAACAATATAAGAAACAACAGGAGCAGCATACGGTAGTGTGATAAAATCAATGATATAAATTAATGAAAGGACGCATGTATTACAATTAATAATAAAAGTAAAGGACCCTTCTCCACGTCTTTATGCTTATAGGGCATATAGGGCTATACCTATTAAATTTTATAGACTAATCGGCACAAGATGGGTGATGTGGTAAACATCATACAGGCCGGCTTTACTTCCCAGGACTGCACCCGGTACCCACTCAAGGCTTTGTTGACCTAGGAGTCCAACCCTTGTTTTCAAAACAAACAGCATTTGATTGATGATATCATCATCATTGCTCTGTTGTGCCATTACATGTCATATAGGGCTCACAGTCTTTCCTCCATCCCGTTCTATCCTGTGAAATGAGTTGGATGTCATGAATAGAATCCAGTCCAGTTTCTCATCAACGTTACTTTGGGCTTTCTTCTAAACGTCCTTGTTTGTCCATGTGTGTGTGTGTTTAAACACCTATACGTGCATTCCCACTTGCGCGTGCAGACGTGTATGTTATGTATATGAGTTATGAGTTAGATTATCTTCACAGCACTCAGGAAACATCTATAGGCGCTCAGATTACCCTCTTAACATATTCATCGGCGTCACGCCGTTAACAGTGCCAGTCCTATGTTGGTTAACAAGACTTCGTGTGCGTCCGGTGTGCTTCTCATGCTTGGCTGTGCCTATCTTTACTCCCAATTCTCGTATTCTTATCAGTCATGTGGACACGTTGCTTCCAAAATCCACAAAACTTCCTATCTCTCTAAGGGCAATGACAATGTCTGCGTGACCCATGGGCTGACCATCTTCAAATAATGCAGCACCTGCCAGTCTGTCAGCTCTTTCATAACTAACATATGACTGCACAACCTGGGACGAATATGAAGATAAATGCACACACAGGAGAGTTTTGCAATGACTCAAACCACTGTCTGTGTAACCAGCCTGCCTCCACCCGCCGGATCATGCTCAGAAAATCACTCAGCACACACACGCGGGAATAGTCCTGTTTCTAGCCACATGAAAGCCTGTGTCACCTCCATTGTCAAGCTGCCTGTAGTCATGGAGAAGGCACCGCTGGCTTCCCGAACTGTTCTGCCCGAAGAGCGAGCTGTGAATGCCCATGCACTCTTATGTCCTCGTATAACGGGCGCGTCTGTGAAGATCACCACATCTGTCTCATCTGACGTGTCACTGATAAGCGCACATGCCTCGGCATTGACAGAATCTGAATTCTGCTCCCGACAACTCCTATCGAGCGTCACGACAGGGAGAATGTGAGATTGTGTGCTTTAGACGCTGGTATCCACTCCTCACCTTGATGGATGTCTGTAAGGCTGCAAACCTGCATGATGTCATACTCTGCCCTACCCAGCCATAAATAAACAGAGGGGGAACCTTCGAGGCCGTTAAATATTATGAAATAATCAAGTAACAGAAAGTGTATTGATTGGCACTAATATAATGTTCCATGAGTGCTCCCTTTTAAGCCTATTTTTCCTTTTTCTTGAAGAGCATGTGGTGCAAATGGTGCTTCAGATCTGAGCTTATCTTGAGGTATGCACGAGCCCTCCAGATCTTGATCCTGTAGTTCATGGTAGGGAAGTCACGACGGTAACTCATTGCTGCCCCCAGAATAATGCGCATTGCTTCGTTTTGCACCTTCTCAAGTCTTTCAATCTGAGTGTGGCTATTTATGTGTATGGGTGTGTGTGTATAGTGCATACCAGCCCCCTTCCCAACAAGTCACTAGTTTTGGTTCAATAAAAATTTCTTAACCAACATAATTGGCAGAAAGAAACCAGACCACAGTTATAACCGATACTGCTCGCAGTAGGTTGAACGTGGTCGGTGTTTTTTTTTTTTTTTTCATAAATTGATGTATGGATAGATAGATGTATGCATGTATGTATGGATAAAGGGATGGATGTATGCATGTATGTATGGATAGATGGATGTATGCATGTATGTATGGATAAAGGGATGGATGAATGGATTAAAGATGGAAGTTCGTGTTAGATGATTGTTCTGTTCGTTTCTTCTCAGGATATGTTCACTATAGCCCTATTGTGTCTGTCTTACAACTGTTGATGGAGATGATAATGATGATAATGATGATAATGATGATGATTATGATAATGATGATGATAATGATGATAATGATGATAATGATGATAATGATGATGATGATGATAATGATGATAATGATGATAATGATGATAATTATGATAATGATGATAATTATGATGATGATGATAATGATGATAATGATGATGATGATGATGATGATGATGATGATGATGATGATGACGACGACGACGACGAAGTAGTTAGTGGTATAAAAGTATTACAATATATGTGAAATATTGTGATAAATGTATGAACAAAGAGAACAGATGTACTTGGTTGGGGAAGGGGTGGCTTGGGCCCCGCCCCTTAAAAGTTTATAAGAGGTCGTCCGGCGCCACGCCCCCTAAATTTAGTTTGTAATACTCACGATGTCCAAATCCAAAATGTCAATTCCCTGTCCATGAAAGAATGAATAAATAAATTAATGAATTGACATCACTGCCCTAGGACACTTTCAAACATGCTCTGTCTCCTTCTTTAGTAGCCAATAAAATTCCACATGCTATTTGTACCAGTTCTGACCTGATTTTAAAAAAGTCCACTTATGTTTCCCCCCTCAGTGTAGACTATTTCACATAACCTTTTCTCATCTCCCCCCCCCCCCCTATTTCCCCCCCCCCTTTTTTTTCCATTACATTGTATGGATTCCTCGTCTGTTTTTTTTTTTTTTTTTTTTTGAACCGTCCATTTGCTCCCAGAGAGCCTTCGCCACATCCGCTTTATCATAAAGTAGCTCACCACCCAAAGGATCAGCAGCGGTTTATCTGTCATCCAGCTCGTTACCTCGAAGAGCTGAATTTCTTGGACAGAAAATCCGTAACTCCTGCAGGGCCCACTAACTCTGCTGCTACGGCTCCCGTTCTGCTAGACATATGATGCTAGCAATTTAGTTTATATGTAAACTTGTACTCTGAGAAGCATATGGTCATTAACAGGTAGACTGACTTTCCTTTCCAGATATTTCTGTAAACATTAGGACAAAGTAAACTTTCACGTTTACCACACGTGAATGCTTTAAATTGATTTTTATTAGAAGGGATGTAACCCCACTTTTGTTTAACGAACTTTTGTATATCATTGAGTTGATGCCTTTGCTAGCTTCTATATTTGACTTAATTTTTTTGTATCAGCGATGAGCAAACTTTTGAGTTCTTAAGGCTGCCTTCATTACATACATCACTAGCAGTCTTCTTTATAAGTTTGTCTGCCAGGGATTTCTGTAATAAAAAGATACAAACCATCTCCAAATACCTCTCACTGCTTTCTGATCGGATAGTAGACCGGGATATATAATCCAGTTTCGTCCTTTTCAGGACGAAATTTTTTGTCATTCGAAGCCCTACTCTGGCTTTTGCCAGGGGCCGCAATATAGGCAGGCCATAAATATGGCCAAATGTCTGAACGCGGTTTCTGGGACCTCTCCACGGCGATCCTCATCCGCATGGTGGCACTTTGTGTCATCGGGTGTTTATCGCTTGTGTGATGTCCTGGTGGGGTAGAAATTCATTCATTCATAGACCGGGATTAATGCAGTAAACTTCCATTGCCATACAGAAAGAACGGTCGCGGTAATGGTGTGGCCTATACTTTTGCTTTTCGGTTTTTTTGTCGTGTATTCGAAACCCAGTTGTGTCTAAGCTGTGTGCTAAAAGTAAAAAAAAAATAGCTGAAGCCTACTGTGTTGGTCCATGGAGTTATGTTATCAGGAGAAGAGTCCGCTTAAACAAAAGGGCAAAGGTAGAGAAACAGGGAATGCATAGGTATTTAACAATAACAGAGGATGAATGAGGA